GACCCTGCAGTCCTGGAGTTGCTCTTCACCTAGATTTCACATTTTCAAAAATTATAATTGTGTAACTAGGTAAGAACAATAATTAAAAGCATAGGTCTTCTCCATACCTCTGGCTGTGCACTTTGAATTCTTGATCTGCTTGGGTGTAGTAAATTTACTGGATTTTTCTGACGTAAATGATGTAAATTTTTTGGTGGCAGAATAATATTACTTATGGTAACTACCATTGATTTTGATGCAGTTCAGTCTGAGATTTTCCAGCAGCAAAGTCGGCAAATCTCCCAGGGCTGGCTTGAATTGCTTGAGAGGGTCAGGGAGAAACTTCGCAAGTTTTATTTTTCCTACATGATCTACATGCCACCCTGCCCAACCTGTTTGGTATGTGATTACATAATAGTTAAAGTAATAAATACAAGTAGACTTTTCAAGAAGATTAGTTATGTAAACAGAAACATCACTGTGAAACTAATTTGAAGTTTAGATGTTGGATTCAGTCCATGTCTTTGGCTACGTTGTTGTCTTCGAGTAACAACTGAATAACTGAACTATACAGACAAGGAAAGATTCAAACTTGATATGTATTGTGCTGGTTGGTTTCAGTTGGGGTTATGGTGTGTGCTGTTATATTTTGGGATGCACCTTGACTGAAGTTTTTGAATTATAATTAATTACAATTACAGACTGGATTTTAAGAAAGCCAATCTAAGGTTTACTAGTCCTGATTAGTTACAAGACCCCTTTACAGGTATAAATATGTTTTCTTAAATTTATTGTAACTGGTACAAAAGAAATGATACTTAAAAAGGCAGGGCACCCAGCCGATACACATTCTTCTTTTCTTGTACATCGAACACTGAAACACAAACTTTGTTAACCCTTACTAAGTCACTAACCTTGTACATGAAGAAACTCATCCTTGACTCTGATTTATTAGTGCATGAACAGTACATGGTCAATCTCGGATTGGTTAGGTAATCTAGCGCTGGCTTCTTGTGATCTTGATTATGACTTTGCTTAACAAAAATAATTCTCTTATTAACAATCTTCACAATTTCATAATTCGTTTTTTAACAAAAACATTAAATTTTACTGTGCTTTGCCACAAAAAAGTCTGTTGTTTAGTTGTATAATGATATTGCATTTTGAATTTTCAGTAATATTGCTGTTACATGTTCCATGTTCCATGTTATAGAGTCAGAGTTCTACAGCACAGAGACAGGCCTTCGGGCCAAACTGATCCATACTGACGAAAATGTCCATCTACACTAACCCCATTTCCCTGCATTTGGCCCATATCCTTCTAAACCTTTCTTATCCATGTACTTGTCCAAATGTGTTTTAAATGTTGCTAATGTACCTGCCTCAACCACTTCTGCTGGCAGCTCATTCCATATGCGTGCCACCCTCTGTGTAAAAAAAGTTGCCCCTCAGGTTCCCATTTATTCTTTCCCCTCTTACCTTAAACCGATGCCCTCTCATCCTCGATTCCCCAACCCTAGGAAAAAGACTGATTTTCACCCTATCCATGCCTCTCATGATCTTATCCACTTCTATTAGATCCCCCCTCAGTCTCCTATGCTCTAATGAAAAACGTCCTAGCTTGTCCAAGCTTTCCCTATAACTCAGTCCCTTCAGTCCTGGCAACATCCTTGTAAATTTCTTCTGCACTCTTTCCGTTTAATAACATCCTTCCTATAGCAAGGTGACCAAAACTGAACACAATACTCCAAGTGCGCCTCACCAACGTCCTGTACAACTGCCCAACTTCTATACTCAACGCTCCCGACTGATGAAGGCCAGTGCGCCAAAAGCCACCTTCACTGCCCCGTCTACCTTTGACTCCACTTTCAGAGAACCATACACTTGAACTCCAAGGTCCCTCTGTTCCACTACACTCCTTAAAAGCCTTACCAAACTTCTACCTCGATTTGACTTTCCAAAATGCAATACCTCACACTTATCTATATTAAAATCTATTTGCCATTTCTCAGCCCACTTCCCCAGCTGATCAAGATCCTGCTGCAATTTCTGATAACCTTCCTCACTGCCCGTGATACCGCCTATTTTAGTGTCAGCTGCAAATTTACTAATCATGCCTTGTACATTCTCATCCAAATCATTGATATAGTTAACAAACAGCAATGGGCCCAGCACCGAACCCTGAGTCACATCACTAGTCCCAGTTGATAGTCACATGTTGTTCTACCTTAATATTGCCTAAAGGGGACTATTGTGAAAAAAACCTTTTCTATACACGCTTGAAAATAAATGATCTATTACTAACCTGTAGCTATATTTTCTGTCCTATTGACAGGTTGGTTTCAGCCCTCACACTTCTCAGCAAGAAACTCAACTGTTACAAAATTACATTAGAGTGCCTACCAAAGAATGAAGCCTTCTATCAAAAGTTCGGATATAAAGCTACAGAAGAAGTGTACATGCAGTGCAGATTTTTCGACTGAAATTTACGTAATCAGTTGCTTATTTTCATTTCTCAAAAGATGTTGGAGATCTAGCTGTATTACTGCTGTTCTGACCTATTACCACAAGATTGCATATAGAATATTCTGGCATAAATGGCCTATTTTCTGCTTATTTTGGTGGTAACAGGATGTAGTTGAAATTTAAGAATGTTTTTTCTCAGACTGAGCAGTTCTGTGGGTGAGGGGAAAACTGCAGCATAGTTCATGTTATTAAATTTTAGCTGAGGGCAATCTAGAGCACTGTATCTATGAAGGAGTATTGTTTTACTTAGAAACTGAAGATAGAAAGAATTTTAACCAAAGTACTTTTTCTTGTCTAGCTCCAAAACCTTTGTCTTGATTTTAAGTAGAACTTGGAGCAGGACATTTCTATGCATTCATTTCTGTTAAGTGACTTAACTGGTAATTATGTCTGCCATGATGCTCTACCTGCAACATTAAAATCAGGATGCAGTTATGCTGTCACTTGGAAGTAATTCCACTTTCGTTAAATGTAAAAGTTGCAGGAAACCTTGGAGCAGAAATTTGATTGGTCTTAGTTACAGTAGTGTCAGTATCTTAGGTTTTCAGTGCATGGGCTTTATGGCACTTTCCAAGTTGAAATGGAGATATTAAAAATACTTGTGTGGCTGTTCCCAATTGCCTTTTTTAATGAGTTGTGGAGTTTTGTGAAATCCTCTCTTGTAGGAACAATACAATCTCAAACAGCCCACAAGGTAACGGCCAGTGTTCTCTGTTAATGGTCTGGGGTAGCTTGCTGCAATCTAACTAAATCTAAGCATTATGACTCTAGGTCATATGTGACTTCATCAATGTGATTTAATTATCTTAAAATTGGATAATTCCAAAGCACATTTATCTAACTTACAGAATGTTAATATTTTTGTTTAAGTATGTATAAATGAAGATAAACTGCTTGCACGGTAGGTGTTAACGGATTTTACTCACTATCTCAGATCTTAGTCTTCATGGTTAACATTGCAGATAAATCTGCTGTTTTCAGCCAGTTTATCGGAGTTGTTTGTTTGTTAATAATTTCTTATTTTAGTTTGTAGAGTTGTAGCTAAATACAATTAATCTATGACTTAGCAAACTGGTTCATTTGAGAGGGCTCCTTAAATTTAAATATTATTCCTAAATTTATCCCTGCTGAATTTTAAGACTGTCTACTATACCCATGATGGCTAAATCTCTAACAAATTTATGTTTTAAGTTAGGATATATTTTTTAAAAATCCAGTAGGGATGGGGGAAGTGAATAGTAATCACCATTTGATTACTGTGACAATTTACACATACTTAAAGTAAAACTTGGAACCGGAGATTTGGTATATATTGTATATAGTTTAGTCAAAGACAGCACTGCTTCCTTATAGGAAAGGTAAATTCTAGTGCAAAAGATGCAGTTAAAGTAAAATTTAATATTCTGAAGGAATTTGCTTTACAAAATATTGTATATTTTCACCCTGTTAAGAGTTTTGTCTAAACTATTGAGCTTTAGTTTTATATTACAGCATAAGAGCTGATACTTGTAGAAACTTGGTTTACTATTGATGTGGGTAAATTTTATCTACTATATGGTTGGTGAGAAATGGTGCAAAGAATTGCTGTATACTGGATCTGTCATTTTGTTGTTTAGGTGCTATAATTTATAGGACCAAGATGGTAAATGCCAACATTTAAGTTCAACATTTCACCTGTTTACTGTAGTGACTACTTTGTTAAAAATTTGACACCCATCTTTGGGCCCAAAAATTACACTTGTAATATGCATTTTTAAAAAAAAATGAACCATACAGAAAAAGCATTGTGCTTTTTTGAATTACAGCTGCTTTTAAGTAGAGTCTTTTTGGTTGAGAGATTTATTGTGATCCAAATTAGTTATTTTTTCAGTAATTTTATTTAGTATTAATAATTTGTATTTATTTATAACTAAGTATAGCATTTTGGACAAAGGGCAAATAAAATATCAAATTCTTGACATGTGTATTTTGATAACAATATAGAATTTATACTGAAGACCTCACATCAGCAAATAGTCTAATTATGTTGATCGCAGCTGCTTTACAAAAAAAGCAGTGAAATAGCTACATTTGATAGCTTATTACATTAATTTAGGTAAGTACACCTTTATTGCACTAATTTATAATGTAGTTAATTGAATTCAACTCTATTGGCACACCTTCACAATGTATTATGCCATAAAGATCTATGTAGTTAATGTAGTTATATTTCAGAGGACTAAATAAAGAAATTTTCCAATACTGTGATTATAATTAAGCCAAGATTGCAGTCAGATAGGGTAAGAGTAATAAAGGCCTGAACAGATTAACCTAGTTGCTTGAAACTATAATAGTTTCATAGCATGGTCAGAAAAATAAAAAGAACATATTCAAAAATTAAGGTAATTTCATAAAACAAGTACAAGTACAAGTACATCTTGCTGGTCTACAATCTGCATTTAGTGGAATTGAATAAAATGAGGTGCTACATATGATTTGACAGATAAGAGAACCACTTAAGGAATTAATCAAACTTTTTTTATTGAAAGTTTTAATAAATTACACTCAAAGATTAACACTTTGTAACAAATTGCATGTATGGGTCTGACATCAAGCACACAGTGCATTATTTCCCTATCAAACTCTCATACAATCAAAATTCAAGTATCAAAAGTGCATCCATGTCTTAGCACATGCATACTTATTAACTGTCAAAACTGCAATTGGTAAAAATGTAAAATAATTAGCATATGAAGACTTGAAAATCCATCAAAAATGTGTTGTGCTGTTCCTGGTCATTTTAATATTTTCATAAGAGATTCTAGTGCTCCAGGTTGTTCTCATATGAAAGGGCAAGTTCTCCATTTTAGCATACTTCCTCAGAAGTAGCAAGACACGAATTCAGAAATGGAAAGAAAGTAAATTTTGCCATGTAAGTTTTTAGTATTCATAATCTCAAACATCCCATAACACTTCTCATCCTTTATTCACTGTTTAATACAGTACAGTAATCATGTCCATTATATTTAATGGGGTAGTTATGGGTTACCCATCATGGACTGCAGCCACCTGCATACTCGAAATATCATCATCATCTTCCAGCATTCTTTTTAAGGTTCCTAAACAAAACAAAATGCCATTACTAAAGCTTTGAAGAGTCATGATAAACACAGGTCACAGAAAATCAAAACCTGGAAATACTCAGAAGGTAAGGCAAAATTCAAACGAAACAGAATTGACATTTCTTCCACCTTCACCATGAAATTGCTGACTTACTCAGTTATTTCTACCATCTGCAGTATTGTTTAACTGTAATGCTTTAATATAATCCCTAACTTCGCCAAGAGAATATTGAGACAGCATTCACTGTCTACTATGGTCCCAGTTATCTACAATGCTTAAGTATAAGTTCCTTGTGCTGCAGGCTTTCTTTCTGTTGATTGTTTACATCTGAAGTAGTTCTTCAAACCCACGTGTAGATTTTTTTCCAAAGGCAATCCATCATAATATGAATAAAGTAGTTGGCGAGCCATTGTTACATTCTGGTAGGATCATCCTAATCCTAATATGGTAGCTTCTGGAAACTTATCTTAGTTTACACTACTTGCAGTTTCCAAATAATGATGTTCATCGATAACCCTTCAGCATGCATGATCAAACTGATGTAGCAACACGAAGCTTCGGAATTCTCAACTGTTTTCTTTCCTAGAGTTCAGGTAGGCGATTTATACAATCAACAGAAATGCCTCTCAAAGATCCATCATCTACAAGACAAGTCTAGAAGGCAGTTGCTCCAAGACCATGCAAGAAACTTTATACAGCTAGGATAATCCAAACTACACACTGGCACTTCAGCTACCACCTTAAACATATACCCACTTCTACCACAACTTGACTGTAGTACGTAGCATCTACATGATGCAATGCTGCAAGTGACGAAGATTTCTACAACAGCAACTCCCAACCTGCATCCTTACCATCAGAACAGCAACAAACATAGGAATAGCATAATCTTCAAATTGCACACCAAACTGACATGGAATTTTCCACCTTTCCTGTATCATCACTGGGTCAAAAATCCTGGAACTCCATATCTAACAGCACTGTGGGAGTACCTCTCCACACACTGCAACAGTTCAAGAAGGCAGCTCACCAACACCACTTCAAGGACCATTAAAGATGAGTAATAAATGCTGGTCTTTCCATCGAAGACTGCATTCTGTAAATGAAGGCTCTCTTCAAGGCTGGTAGCTCAATTAGTGTAGCACTTTAAGGATAAATTTCTGCATGCATGTTGGCCAACAACTGGATTATCCCAACTGCTGCTGTCATTTAAGCAGTGACAGGCAAGCTGACCCAAAACACCACCAAATTCTATTGTATGATGTTCTACGTATTCACTCTGCCCCGCACCATCCCTCCCCCCAACACTCTCTCCTGCAAAAGGTGATTCAATCAGTGCAGAGCAACTCAGGGATACCTTGTACATGGACACATTTAATAGAGATAGGCACCAAAAGCAAGAAGAATTGCCGAATCCCAAAGCGGAAGCCTAGTTGAAATCTCCAAGTTTTAATTTTAAGAAAAATCATAATTATTAAATGAAAGCATGAGAAGAATTGAAACTTGGGAATTTAAACATTACTAATGGATGCACAGGAAGGGAAGTAAGATGTGCCCGTTTAGAGATGAGACAGAAGTTTATCTGTATCCCTGCTGGATTTGCATCAGTACACTACTTGCTACAGCGAATATCAGAACATATAGGTCATCATATAAAAGAATGCTTAAATGGGCAGGAGGGAAGAGGATCTTGTAACCAGCTTTTGATGACCTCCAGACTTACCAATACTGTATGATAATACTTTCTATCTTCTAAAAGCAAATGTCCACTAGGCTTATAAATTAGTCTCATGTCCCCCGAGAGGAAGCAACAAATACTTAGAACCATGGGAAAGGTTTTGGGGACCAAATGGATGGGATCCTGATAGAGTGAGGAACTCCAAGAAAGACTACCCTACAAGTAAATAAATCCACTTCATTACATCATTGCCTAAATACCACAGATGTCTGACTCAGTAGCTTCTTAAAACGTAGAATGGAAATCTTAAAGGGTCACAATATCTACTGGGTTCTCTGTATCATCCACGATTTACACACATCTCTGGGGTTTGAACTAGTATCTTGGTAGTGAATCAGGAGAATCCCACAGAAATTCCAGATTGAAAACAATTAGAGCCATAGAGGCTCCAACTAAATAATTGACTGCTACACTCATGCAAAGGGTGGAGATTATTGCAGACAAAAAAAGTCTTGCAGATACTATAGTAGAGCCACTGATGTTTGCTATGCTCAAACAACAAATCTAGAAAACATTCAAGCAAACATTTAATAATCTTGTAAGTTGAGATGATCTTGTCAGATATGTGTGGTCTCCAGGTGACAACAGCTACTGAGAACTAGGAAATTCCCTACCTAACACCATTGAGGGAACACCATCACCAGAAGGACTGCAGCGGTTAAAGGAGAAGGCCCATCACCTTCTCAGGGCAACAAGGGATGGGTGATAAATGAGGCCTTTCCAATGTCGCCCACATCCCGAGAACAACTAAAAAAAGGAAAAGATTGTGTTGCATTTATATAGATTATATATCTTTTACTATCCATAAAACAGAATCTGAGAACAGTTCTAAAATTAGCTCAGTGATTGCACCAGTAACAGCAACTGAGATATGAGGACGCTTCCAACAGAAATCACAGCTACCAAGAAAGTAGTTTACAACGATAAAATCATGTGGAAGATTGAGGTCAAAAGCTTGGTATGGTATGCCAGGTGTAAATCTCGAGAAGGAAATTAAGCAAGACTTGATTTCCATATCCCTTTCATAAAATAGGATACAAAAAGATTTTCACCAAGAGTCCAGAGAGGAAACATGGAGTACTGCAGAAGCTGTAAACGAACAATGTTGGTGCTTCATTTCAAAACCAAAGTTAGCAGATGTGGGTTCCAGGATAAACTCCAAATGATTAACAACTTCTACTTGTAGTATATATGCCTCACTCACAAAAGATTTCCTGGAATCAAAGTACTTACTAGAAAGAGTATTTTGGCTATTGAAAGGAAAACGTGATAAACAAACAATAAAACAGAAACCTGTTGACCGAGTAAAGAATTCAATCTAATAATAGGATGATATGGGATTTGTACGATTTAGCACAAGAATATTTGAGAACTAATAACTTTACAGCCCAAATGAGATTTGTAAAATCATGCTTAATTTTACTGCAATACTCTGGGAATCAAAGCACACGTAGAGAGGAACATCTGCTCCCTGAATTCAGGAATATACCAAGAACGGATTGCGGTGCACTGGAGGAACATTTTAATGTCATCAAGAAAAGCTTTAATATGGCATAGGAAAGAAAGAACATGAACAACATGCCAACAATATATTCAGATAACTAAATTCTCTCCAATTTACCCATGGTTAGCCAGCATTTAGATTTGCCCTGTGCACATGCAAAATATTGGAAAAAAAATAAAAATTATTCAGGACATTGTTGTAATGGGTACATGCCCTTCTCTTTCCCAAAATATTGGTCTTTTTTATTTACATTGGATATTTGAGTTTCAGAAATAACATCACTTCTCCAACTATGTCAATATCTGTATTCCTAGCAGCTTATTTTCAGGCTGTAACATTCTTAATCAATAACTGCAACATTTCTAATGCTTCAAAGGTTTAAGCTTTGTATTAAGATGAGGTTTTCAGCATATTTCAGAACGATACATTAGCCAAACATAATTTAAATATCAGTAGTATTACTTAACACAAGAAAATCTAAGAAATCATTTTCAACAATTACTAACCTTGTGCAGAAACTGATCTGCCCAGCTGAAGTGGTGACATCATCTTTATTGTCAATTTTGCTAAATAAATGGCTTCATACTCCTATTTATAGAACAGTTTTTAATGTTAGCTTTTATTAAAAAATGATTTTTAATTTGACTAAAGCAAACATCTAGAACAGCTTAACGCCCCTCTCACATTTTTCTACAATTTTTGGAACATGCAAGTGCATGTTCACAAATCAGCCAATAACAAGTAAGGGACAGACACTCTGGGAATTGCCAATTGCATATGCCACTGGATGTGTTGCACCACTCTGCTATTAGCTTCACAAAACAGGCATCATGCCCTCATCTCCCACAAGTTTTGTGAAATTGCTGCATTTGCTCATTGCCTAAACTCCCCACAGAAAGTTCTCTCTTGCAAATAACAGTGCAAGTACCAATTTAACAAAGGTGCAACAATCACTAAGTGACAACCAATCTGTCCTTCCCAAAAGGTGAACAATTAAAAGTATGGTGCATCATTCCTTATGGATGATTGTTGGAAGAATTTGTAAATGCCAAATTCTACTGTTGACTTTTTCCCTCCTTTTTCTGTCTCTGCTCTCTTTTGATCCGGCTTTCCTTTCTCCCTTCTCTATTTCTTTAATCTGTACCTTATTTAACACTGAAGCCACTCAATCTGATTTACCTAGCTTCTTAGTCCTACCTCTGCTAAATTCTCCAACTACTTGCTGGGCTACAGCCTCAGTTGGGAGTGCCTACCATGTCCCCAGTCTACACCAAATTGGTAATTAATTGTTCAAATTAATTTAACAGGACTTTGGCGAGTCCCCATCTGGTCTACAGATGTTTCTATACATCTAAGGAAAGATATACCTGCCTTTGAGGCAGCACAGCAAAGATTACTGGATTGGTTTCCTTGTGGGGTTAACTTACAAACAAAGGCTGCGCAAATTGGGCCTATATTGAAGCTTAGAAGAATGAAAGATGATTGAGACAATCAAGATTCTGAAGGAATTTGACAGGCTTGACTCAGAAGTTGTTTCCCAGGCTGGGGAATTCAGAACCCCCAGGACACTCTCACAGGATAAGGACCGGTTCATTTAAGACTAGAGATGAGAAGCAATTTCTTCAAAGGGCTGTTCACCTTTGAAATCATCTCGCCCAGATAGTTATGGACACTCCATTATTAAAGACATTTCTGGTTGAAATAAACAGACCTTTAGCCACTTAGAGAGGGAGTGAAGGGATAAGGGAAATGGGTAGAAAAATAAGAGTGAAGGTAGAAGACCAAGTGGTAGAGCAGGCTTATGAGGTCGTATGGTCTCCTCTTGCCCCTGCATCTTATGTCTGCTCTCTTCCAGGTGAGAAAACCTATGCTTTACAGTTTGCAAAGCGTGTAGTTTAAAAGTAAATAAAGCCTAAACTATATAAAATAATAATACATCACCGTTCATTTTAAAACATACACAGGAATCTTGTGTCAAAGCAATTTTAAAAATACCTCACAAATGTTACGTTATCAATATAAATGAGTATTTTGTGGTAATTAATAAAAAGACAAGCCAGTTACCTGCAGCTGATGGACAAATCCAGCATTTGGATTAATACAAAATCTCCTTTCCTGAACATATGTAAATGCATCCCTAAAAACAAAAAAGTAAAGATACACACTATGAACATCTTTCCAAACTGTTATTTTTTCTATGCAAAACCCAACTCATTTATTTCCCCTTTCTCCTAGTTCCTGTCCAAATTATTTCTCAAGTAAAGGATTAAGCAAGTGAACTGTTTCTTGGCATTGGTGATTTCCTAACTAATCATTAGGAGATGGACAAGTGATTCACAACTTTTCTATTCACTTTCAAGAAACAAATTGCTTTATCTTCACAATTGCCACTGGTCACAGTTCAGCATGGGAACACCAGTCCTTTTCCTGTAACCTATTTAAAAGTTGTATTTAAATGAAATTAGTAGATTTCTGAAGAAATGATCATGTGGACAGAAATGGGAATGTTTCATGTGGATTGTCAGAAAGTGTTCAAATAGGTAGTTCACCACAGGCTTATCAGAAAGACTAGACATATGGTATAAAGGAAAATGTAACAGCATGGCTTGAAAGTTGCCATTACATTAACTGCTTAGACAATTCTAAAGAGGGTACTGGAATAGAGGGTCCTAGATGTAGAATTTTTGCACAGAAATCAATGAAGTGACAGGATAAGTTGAGAAAGTGAAAGCATACAGCAGGCTTTGGTTCTTGTGACAGTGGTAGTGTCCCTATCTCTGAGCCAGGAGGACTTGTTTCAAGTTTCACCTGCTTCAGAGGTGTGTCATAACATCCCTGAACAGGCTGATTAAAAAAAAACCTACGGCAGGCTAGGCTTTATTAACAGTGACAGTGTACAAATGCAAGAAAGTTTTGTAAACTTTGTATAGAACATCGGTTTGGCCTCAACTGGAGTGCTGTGCCCAGTTCTGGGCACCACATTTTCGGATGATGTGACTTTGCCACCTTTCACGGTCTAGTACTAACTGAGCTCGAGAATGTGGTGGTGAACTATTGTAATCCATGAAAGCAAGTTCACCCACAATACCGTTAAGAATTCCAGGATTCTGACCCTGCAATAGTGCAGGAATGGTGAATAATTCCAAGTCAGCACAGTACGTGGCTTGGAGGGAAACTTGCAGATAGTGGTGCTCCCGTATAAACGGCAGAGGTCGCAGGTTTGGAAGGTGATGTTGAAACAACCTTGATAAATTGCTACTGTGCATCTTGGAAATGGTACAAACTGCAAGATGGGGGAATCTGGAAGATGGTGAATGGGTGTCAACAAGTGGGCTATTTTAGACTGAATGATGTCAAATTTCTGCAGTGTTGCTGAAGCAACACCCATTCAAGAAAGTATGCAGTATTCCATCACACTAACTCGTGCCATGTACATTAGCGGCAACACATTGGGCAACCAGGAGATGAGTAATTGCCTCCAAATTCCTAGTCTCTAATCTGTTCTTGTAGCTGGTCTGTTTACATGGCTGGTCCAGCCTCTAGTCAGAATATTGACAATTTGGGATTTAGCAAAGTCAATGCGCTTGAATATCAAGGATAAATTATTAGATTCTCTGTTGCTGGAGGAGATGATCATTGCCTGGCAATTAAGTGATGCATATGGTACTAGCCAATATTGGCAAGGTGTACTGCACACGGACATGAACTGCTTCTACATCTGAGATCAAAAGACAAAAAGGAGCTGAAGTAGGCCATTCAGCCAGTTGAGCCTGCTCAGCCATTCAAGACAGTCATGGTTCAACTCCACTTTTTGGCCTTTACCCCGTAAACCCTTGATTTTCTTACTGATTAAAAATCTGTCCATCTTAGCCTTGAATATACTTATTGACCCAGCCTCTATAATCCTCTACAGTATAAAATTCCACAGATTCACTACTCTGAGAAGAGATTTCTCGTCATGTCTTAAATGGATGACCCCCTATTCTGAGATTATGCCCTCTGGTCCTAGCCTCTCCCACAAGGTGAATAACCTTTCTGTATCTATCCTATCAAGTCCCATAAGAATCTCGTTTGTTTCAATAAGACTGCCTCTCATTCTTGTAAATTCCAATGGGTACACACCCAACTTAGTCAAACTATTCTCCATACCTCAGCTTGACCAAGTGAGCCTTCTCTGGACTACCTCCAACACCAGTATATCTTTCCTTAGATAAAGGGACCAAAATCATTCATAGTATTCCAGCTGTGATCTGACTAGTACCTTGTATAGCTTCAGCAAGATATCCCTAATTTTCAAATACATTCCCTTTGAAATAAAGGCCAATATTCCATTTACCTTCCCTTTTAGCAAGTGAATTTGAGTACTAACCTAATGGTTTATGCATAAGGACCCCAAAATCCCTCTGTGCAGCATCTTTCTTAATTTAAATATTTAGTTCCTCTATTCTTCATCATTTTCCCAAATTATATTCCATCTGCCATGAGTCTGCCTACCTGTTTAACCTGTCTATATCCCCCTGTAGACACTGTTTACTGAACACTTGCCATCCCATCTATTTTTATGTCATCTTCAAGCCTGGCTATAGTACATAAACTTCCCTCATCCAAATCATTGATATACATTGTATATAACTGTGGCCCCAGCACTCGTCCTTGTCGCACTCCACTAGTCACAGGTCATCATCCTGAAAATACCCACTTTTCCCAATTCTGTTGTCTATTAATCAATCCTTGGTCAATCTTATTAAGTGGCTTAACGTATCATACCCAATCAAATGCCTTCTGAAAATCCAAATATATTCCATTCACTGCTTCTCCTTTAACTATCCTACTTGTTATCTCCTCAAAGAATTCTAGTAAATGTCAGGCATTATTTTCCCCTCTGCTTGATCATATTATGTATTTCTAAATGCTCTGCTCTTACATCCTTTACGGTAGGCTTTTAAAATTTTACAAATAACAGATATTAAACTAACTGGCTACAGTTACATGTTATGCCTTGCTTTTTTAAAATTTAAAACACTGGCAGTTTTTCGATCATCTGGGACTTTTACAGAATAAAGATTTTTGGAACATTACAACCAGTGGGTCCGCTATCTCTGTACATACTTCTTTTAATATCCTAGGATGCATCTTATTGGGTCCAGGGGACTTATCAGTTTTGAGCAATATTAGATTCCCCAGCATCTTTTCTCTCATGATTATTATTGTCTTCATTACCTCTCCTCCTTTTGCACCTTGATTATTTAGTATTTTTGGAATGCAATGGGCATCTTCTGCCGTGAAAACTGATGCAAGGTATTTACTCAACTCCACTACCATTTCCTGGATCCCCATTATTAGTTCCCTTGTCTCATTCTGTTGCAAATGCACTAAACATTGTGAAATTATCAGCGAAGATCCCAACTTCTGACCTTACAACTAGATAATGGAATAGCAGAAAATGATTGTACCTAGGATGCGACCTGAGGAACTTGTGCCATGATGTCCCGGGCTGAATTCCATGATATCCAATAACCTCAACTATTTTACTTTGTGCAACCAGTAGAGTTTTCCCTTTGATTCCCACTGAGTCCAGTTTGTTAGGGCTCCTTGACACCATTCAAATACTGCCTTGATGTCACATTCACCTCTGGAGTTCAGCTTTCTTGAAAATATCTGGGTCAAAGCAGTAATGAGGTCAGTAGCTAAATGGCCCTTGCGAAAGCCAAACTCACCACAGCGAGCAGGTTATTCTGAGCAAATGCCTCTCATAGCACTGTGGACAGCACTTTCCTTCACTCTGTTGATGGCCGATGGTTGACTGGTGGTGTGGTAATTGTTCTGCCTTTTGTGGACAGGGCAGACAGGGACAATTATTCACACTGCCTGATAGATTCTAGTGTTGCCGCTGTGCTGGAACAACTTGGTTACAGATTCAGCTAATTCTGGAGTAAAGGTGTTCAGTACTATTGTCAGTATGTTCTCAGGGCCCATATCCTGGAGTAGATTGAGTAGGCATGAAAAAAAACTGTTCCCACTGGTGGAAGGATTGAGGACAAGAGGTCATAAATTTATGAAAGCTGGCAAAAATAGCGATAGTGACATGAAAGGGGAAAAAAAAAATGCAGTAAGCGGTTGGGATCTGGATGGACTCCCAAGTGCCTCGTGGAGGAAGATACAATCAAGGCATTCAAGAGGGAACTAGACTATTACCTGTAAACTAAGAACACAAAAGTAAAGGGGGAGAAGGATGGGGAAGGGTATTGGTGAATTGCTCCTTCAGAGTGCACAGACATGATAAGCTGAATGTCCTCATTCTGTGCTATCACCTTTCTCCAAAGAATGGCAATGATTCAGATTACATTCTATTCAAAGGATCAGTGATGGGGATCTACATATAAATGATTTAGTCTCATTTAAATGGAACAAAATTTTAAAAGTTTGATAATATACAAGTAGGCTGGCAGGTTAGCAGCCAGCAAGGGGGACAAGAAAGAGACTTCAGAATAGTAGGTGTAATTCAATATGGGTACAAATGTAAGATAATACATTATAAGAAAAAAACTAGTAAAGGGGCAATTATATAATATCCCAAAAATGAAGGTAGGAGTCAATAAGATTATAGAAGCATCCACAGGATTTTATGCTTTACAAATAAGGGTAGAAGACAGAAGAGTAAAGAAGTAATGGCAAATCTACACAAAACACTGGTTAGCATACATAGTATGTGTAGATTTAACTACTGTATTATATAAAGCGCAAAGTCACAGAGAATATGTAACTCAAATATACCCAGAAAACATCAGGAATTACAAACTTTATACAGTCATAGCGATTTTATAAACATTGTAAGGGAAGACTCAAGATATTTCAGCAAAGAAGGTTAACAGACTTAAAGATTTTTAAAATTAAGGATTTTCGTGAGGTGAATCAGGAAGGGTTTTATTTTGGTTGCAAAATTGGGGTTGTTTATAAGCAGTCAAACTGAGGGGTGTTTTAGGACAATTTTCTTTAAACAAGGAAAATGTTGCTGTGCATAATGCTCTTATCACAAAAAGTGGTCGAAGAGGAGTCCATCACATCTTTTGAGGGACTACCACAACTTCTGTAAAGTGTAAAGTACAATCTGGGGAGAAACAGGGCAATCTTGGACAGCTCCATCAAAGAGCTGGCACAGATACGATGGCAAACCATCTGATCCTGTGCTGTAACCTC